CTGCTTGGCCTGCTGTGTTCATCCAGCTCTACACCTTGTTATCTCAGCCTTGTAGTTACTTTCACAAGAAACGCGGCTTTTAAACATCTGTCCGGTTGCTTCTTGTGAACCCTTGGGTTGAACCCAACCCTAAGATAGGCATATGGATGATAGTATAAGGTAGGGGTGGAGGTTAGATAGACCTTAGGTTTAGGGTAAAAGTGCGGCACAACATTGTGGGCCGAAGGGCCTGTACTGTTCTATGTTCTAAGATAGGATAGGGGCCAGGGGGTAAAGGAGTAAATGGTAGGACCTGAAACATTAACTTCTCTCCACAGATGCTACCAGACCTGCTGAGCTTTTCCAGCAAATTTCTGTATTTCTTTTTTGTTTCTGGTTGCCAGCATCCTTTCAGTTTTTATAATAAAAACAAATAAAGAGTGGTTTATTAATTTCCCCCTCCCACTTTCACAGTTGCTGGAATAATTCACTCTCGGCCTGTCTTCCCCCCTCCACCCCCGCCGTGACGGTGGGACCCGGTTGGTTTCTGGCCTCGCCCCTTTTAAGAATGTAGCTCCACCGACGTGTTGACGCCCTGCGAAAAGCCTTGCCTTGTGTCTGTGTGTCAATGGGAGGGAAGAGCGTGGGAGAGGTTTGTTCAAGCTCCAGTCTCGTACAGGCAAGCGGCAGGAGGAGGAAGGGGACAAGGCATTGAGAACAGGAGGAGAGAGAGAAAGGCAGCTGCATTGGCGAACAAATGACGGGAACCCCTTAGACACCAGAAGGAGAGTGAGCCCAGAATCGGATTTAAAGCACATAAGGGAGACACAGAGCGAGAGGGGGGGGAAGAGAAAAAGGAGCAGGACATTATATTTTTTTTATTTTGGGGGGTGGCTGCACTTGTCGCTTTTTTTTCCCCTCTTACCACCACCCCCCAACCTCAGATTGATTTCTGATTGTAAATTCTGCAGGGTCCCAAGTGTCTGCCCCCGCCCCTCCACCCTACCGAGGGGAGAAGAAAGTGGCTGTGGCCAGACCATGAGGGAGTATAAAGTGGTGGTGCTGGGCAGCGGAGGGGTAGGCAAGTCAGCCTTGACCGTGCAATTTGTCACCGGCTCCTTCATCGAGAAATACGACCCGACCATCGAGGACTTCTACAGGAAGGAGATCGAGGTGGACTCGTCGCCCTCGGTGCTGGAGATCCTGGACACGGCAGGCACCGAGCAGTTCGCCTCCATGCGAGACCTGTACATCAAGAACGGCCAGGGCTTCATCCTGGTCTACAGCCTGGTCAACCAGCAGTCTTTCCAGGACATCCGACCCATGCGGGACCAGATCATCCGGGTGAAGCGCTACGAGAGAGTGCCCATGCTGCTGGTGGGCAACAAAGTGGACCTGGAAGGGGAGCGGGAGGTCTCCTTCGGCGAGGGTAAAGCTCTAGCCGACGAGTGGAGCTGCCCTTTCATGGAGACCTCGGCCAAAAATAAAACCTCCGTGGACGAACTGTTTGCAGAGATCGTCAGGCAAATGAACTATGTGGCTCAGCCCAATGGGGATGATCATTGTTGCTCGTCCTGTGTTGTTCTGTGATAGATTTCTATATAAATATATATTACACGTTATTAAAAAAAGGTGAGGCTTTCTTTTTCAAAAAAAAACATAATCATTTTTGGAGATTCCCGGGGAGAGAGGGCGGACACTCCACTAACTTTTTTTCTTCTCGTGTTTTTTTTAAAACGAGGAGTGTGGGAGGGAAAGGGGAAGGCAAGTGTGGTACATTTTTTTTTACATGTTTTTTTTTTCAAAAAATGCCCAGAGATGAGGCTCATGTGATGGGGGTGTGGGGGATGGGGAGACCGGTTTATCCACCCCCTCCCAGCTGCGATGCTGCTGTTAGGGAGACAAGTTACAACCAACAGAGAGTCTCTCTCTCTCTACGCCAGGAAAGAGAGCTTCTTCATTTAAAATGGTGGGGGCTGATAAGGCTGCATGCATTACTCAGAACACCAAATGCTGCTGGAATTTAATTCTATCTCCGTCTCTCTGTGTGTGTGTCTAGCTGGATGTCTCTATGTGCCTGTGATTCTGTGTCTCTCTCTATCTCTGTCTCTCCCTATCTGACTCTGTGTGCCTGTATGTGTCTTTCTCTCCTCTGTTGTCTGTCTCTGTTTCTCTCTCTCTATCTGTATGCGCCTGTGTGTCTGTCTCTGTCTCTGTATCTCCCCCCCTCTCTATGTGCCTGTGTGTGTGTGTTTCTCTCTCTCTCTCTCCCTCCCTCCCTCTCCCTGTATGTGCCTGTGTGTGTCTCTCTCTCTCTCTCTCTCTCTCTGTTTGCCAGTGCTTGTGTGTGTATCTGTGTCTTTCTCTGTCTCTGTATGCGTCTGTCTGTTAGCAGGGTTTGAGGCGAGAGTAGAATTGGCAGGCACAGATTTGCATTCAAAACTGTAAAGGGGGAGGGGAGAAAAGATTTATTTTAGAATTCAATTGACAGTATTCGGTACAATCTAGTCTTTTGTTCACTGCGAGGGGAGGTGGGGGGGTTGGTGAATTGTAAGTGAATCTTAATGAATGATGAATTGCTGATCTCTAATGTTTTTTTGTCCCCTTCTATTCCCTCCCCCACCTCCACTTTCCCCTTTCCCTCCACAGGCACAGAGTTTCTATGCAAAGTTGGAAATATGGATATTTGAGATCCCATCTCTTGTGGCACCAACCTGAACTTTGGAGACACTGTAACAGATGCCACACTATTTGAATCCGAGCTCCATCTTACTGCTGTTTTATTCATGGGGTGTTTGGGGGTTGTGGGGAAAGCAAAGTACATCTATTTTTTGTTGAACTGCTGTGACTTAATTTTTCCTCCCCTTCCCCTTTTTCTTTAGTCCCTCTCTACCATACACTTTAACCTCTTCTTTCTCCCTCTCCCCCACCCCCACCCCCACCCCGTTGAAAGAAAAGGGGAAAGGTAGGGCAAATATATTTAACATAAAATGCGACTATGGTTATTTTTTTGAACTGTGTGCTGTGAATGTGACAACTGTGGACTTGTACAAACAAGGGAGGGGAGAGAAGAAAAATGAATGGACATCTAGTGAGCCCAGGAGGGTGCAGATAATTACTGTGCTGTGGTCCAAAAACTGGCTGATCACAGGCCACCAATCACCCTTGTGTCTAGTGCCTTTGAGATTCCACTGTCGATGCAGTATGTGCCAATCTGTGAAAGCCTCCATGCCATCCCATGAGCTGCCGGCGCACAAAACAAAAGTACTTCAACTTTCCTTCGAATGATCCCAATTAAAGCATGGCAAGACTGAAAAGAGCCTCTCTTGATGGAATCTACACAGAATTTTTTTTCCCCAATGTTTTCCTGGCTTTGCCTACATCGCAGGTTGTTAGGAAACCTAGCTTTCCTTTTTTTTGTCAATTTCTCCTCCGCTGTTGTTTCCAAAAGAACAATATCATCCCTCACTTTGTGATTCCGTATATTAATCTAATCTCACTCTTTTTCTCCAGGCCAACACTGACCAAGATGGGAGGGCAACTGGGAAGGAGGGAGGGAAAGAAGGAAGGATGGGAGGGGGGGGGGGGGACATCTTAGTCTGGCACACCAAGGAATTCTAACATCCTCTGTATGTTACAAATCCAGACATGCATTTAACAGCTGTGTCTGTTCTGAGACTTTTAATACAAAGTGCATTTTTATATAAAAGAAACAAAACTATATTGAGCGTTGGATGTTTTATTGTATGTGTCGACAATTCAGATAGTATAACTTAAGAGAAACGTGCGATCCCATTGTCAGTCTGTATGTCACTTATTGTTTTATACGCTGCATGTAATATCTCTATATTTTTTCTGAGGGGGAACAAAAGCAATGAGTTTTCTGGCCACTTTGAAAGCAGGACTGTGAATCATTTGAAGGAACAGGATGATTTTGCATTGCTGTAGTGCCTTTTTTTTTTGGATGAGGGTGACCAGACCATAAATGTGAATGTGCACAAAATGCTCAATGACATGCATTGGTTTGATGTTACTAAATTGCTACGTACTTGGGAACTAACGAGATATAAAGGGGAAGAGATAAAGAATAGGATCGGTGAGACCTTACAGCATGATGGTGAGGATGTGATGCTTGTTGTCGATATTTTTACATATAACTAATCTTGCATTGCTGTAATGTATTCTGTTTTTTGGCCAGCATTTATTACCCAGCCTTTTGGACAATATTAACCTAAGCTGGTGTTCTTGATAATGGTGCAAGTACATTCTGTTGTGTAGTGCTGTTATGTAGTGAGTTCCAGGAGCTGGTGAGAGTGACCAAAACTGTGACTGTTTTGTCCAATTTGAAGCTGGCAGCACTTCCATGTGCCTGTCTCCCTTGTCCTTCCAGGTGACAGAGGTCACGGATTTGAAAGGTGTTGATGGTGAAACCTTGGCACGCTGCAAGGTGGTGCCAACTAACATGTTTCGGGCAATATTGGTCGTTGTTGGTGAAAGTGGGAAGTTCGGTGGGGTTGGGGAGATCAAAAACTACGTGCTTTCGGATTGTCTTGAAGCTTTACTAGTGGCCATCATAGGTATGAGTCAAGCATCAGATATGAGAGGATTAAACGCAATGTGGGTAGAGCTGCCTGAAGATGAATTGCGGTAAAATGATTTATTTATTTTAAGACCTGTTCTGCATTGCTTTGTGGGCCCGTTGCCACCGTGTGCTGCAGAAGTTAGAATCGTATTTCCGTTTCTCTAGCTCCATTTCCTACAATGCCTTGTATGCAACTATGCACACAGCAGCTTGGGCAAGCCCAGGCAAAACAGTCACTTAAGATAGGGAGAGTCAAATAACTGGCAGTCACGATTGAATTGCAGCCTCTAGATTTCTGACGCGATGTGTCGAATCTATAAGTCTTGGTGAGCTTTAGCAGACCAACCAAACTCTATAATCAGACTGAGACTCTGTCAGGTCCTATATAATAGTGACTAGGAAATTGCTGTATTTGCATAAATAATGATTGTACAATTGTAATTAAAAAAACATGCATTTTTAGACTTGCCTTTTGAGGTGATAGAACAAACATTCCATGACAGTGCAAAGGAATGCCACAAGAACAAATCACTTGGGCTAGATAACCAAAAACATGGTTAGAGAGGTAGGTTTCAAGTTGTGCCTTAAAGTAGGAGGGGGAGGCACAGGTTTATGGAGGGAGTTCTGAAGCTTAGGGCCTTGGTAGCTGGAGGCCTGGCAGAAAAGGATGTCTGGAATGTGTGGGGCACCAGAATTGAAGGAGTGCTATATCAGGCTGGTTGGAGGAACTGAATGAGACAGTTGTGTGATAGGGCAAGTGTTAAGTTGGAGGTATTGCTGAACCGAAGGCCTAGGTAGATGAGTGAAGACAAGGATGATTGATGAATAGAACTTGGTGTGACACTAAAGCAGCAGAGATTTAAAAGTTGGGAACCTTTTTTGGGAGGGACAGTACTGGTCATTTGCAGTGGGCACTAGAGACTTGTTCATTGCTCTTTTGAAAGTTTCCATTGAGAAAATGCTTGGAACTGTCCAACATTATCTGTTTACCAGCAATTAGACTTGACTACTGCTCCTATGATGCTGCTTGGCCTGCTGTGTTCATCCAGCGCTGCACCTTGTTGTATCAGTTTGCCAGTTGTGTTCCTCTTGGAAAACCAACCTGTCAGTATCTGAGGTGCAGGAATCTCCTTGCAATCTGTCTCAGTGCTAATTAAAAGTAGAATTGCAGTCTGTTTACTTTCATTTTGACACAACTTCTCAACGGAATCTTTTTTTAGTCTTGGAGGGGAAAAACATTTTCATAGGTGTTGAAATGGTTGACTAGTGTGGTTGCAAGAGTAGTTTATTTTAGAAATGAATTGTGAAAAACACTATTTGCATGACTTTCGGCATCCCAAAGTACTTTATGGCTGAAGACAAGCTTTTTTGTTTAAAAGGGTGTTCACTGTTGTAATATAAATGCTGCAAACAGTTTGCATACAGGAAACTCTCACTGGGTGCCATAGAATGATAATCAGTATCTGTTTTTATGGTGTTGATTTGAGGTGGTGTGTGCTGGCCAGAGATCCCCTTCTATGAGATGGTGCTATGGGTTTTTTTTTAATGCCCTTGTGAAAGGGCAGTTGGACTTCATTTTTCTCACCTGAAAGCTGACAGTACCTCCGACAGAGCAGCACTCCCAGAGTACTGCACTGGAACATCAGCCTGGATTTTGTACTCCACTGAAGTGAGGCTTGAAACTGCAATACAAGGGTTTAGATTTTGATTATTTAATGGTCATTATAGACGTGATTGACTCTGACTCTTAACCGCACTCTGGGCAGTTAAGGATAGGCAATAAATTCTGACCTAGTCAGTGACAACCACCCTGAATGAATTAGAAGTATCTCTGTAATCACATTGAGATAGTATTGTGCTTTTTCAAATTTGGGTGCTAACAATTTACAATTTTTTTACACTTAATTATGTGTGAAAAAAAATGATCAGTTGGCATTATGTTCATAACTTATAGGTTCCTCTGAAGGCTTGCTGACCATTTTTAGAATAAAGCTGTAAAGCTTGTTGAGAGCCCTGTTTGATGCAAGGTGCCCTGTCTGTTCTCAGTAGCTGAACCTTGAAGTGGCAGGTTTGCACTTCATTCATTCAACTGTGAGGTGACTTCACAATTGAACCTGGTCTTTAGTCCTGTAGGTAGATTTTTGATTTTAGGTTTTATGGTTGCGTCTTCTCAAGTATGGGAGTACAGTGAAAAGTGCCATCTTCGGTACAAGGATAGGTAGTAAAAAAAATCTTAAGTAGGGAAATAAAAAAATTAAAGAAATAAGCTTAAGTTCATCATTATGGTTCTTTTTAGTATGAAGTCGAAAAATAAAGTTAGAAGTTAAACGTTACAGTCCTTTCTTGAGCCATGGGCCTGCTGTCCCATTGGTACATGGGCAATTTGCAGCAGGGCTGACTGGTAGCAAATAAGAACCGAAAGAACTGTGGATGCTGTAAATCAGGAACAAAAGCTGAAGTTGCTGGAAAAGCTCAGCAGGTCTGGCAGCATCTGTGAAGGGAAAAAAAAGATCAAGAGTTAATGTTTTGGGTCTGGTGAGGAAGGGTCACCAGACCCAGACTGGGTAGCTTTCAGGAACAAGGGGCCCGCTGCTTGTTGATGTTTCGACTATGTTTCCAGCACAGCATTGTAGACACTGGTCATGGCATTCCTCCAACTGACCAGAAACACTCTGCCAATAACTTTAATCAAAAAGTTAGGACTTTGCATCAGTAGAAGTTGAAGAGTCTCAGTTCAGGACCAGACTTTCTGTTTGAGTCAGAAGACACATGGCCAGAGGAAACCATTTAACCTTTGGGATTTGTGTTGGCTGTTTGGAAAGCTCTGTCCCATTATTCAAATTCTAATCCCACGATATTTCCTAACTTTGTTTTGTATTTGTTCGTGGGACTGTGACGTCGTGGGTTTGGCCACCTTTACCGTCATGGGGAAGGTGGTGTTTATCTGCCTCTTTGAGACACTTCATGGTGGGCAAGCACACCCAAAAATGCAGTTTATGTACCTATACAATTCTTCTTAAGTTGAATCTGCTGGCATTGGCCTTCTCAGCATTACAATCCAGAAAATAACCAATAAAGCTAATAGAACGTTGCTGTTTATATCTTAGAGGACTGCAGTACAAGAATGCAGAAGTAATGTTAAATAGACAGCCTGCTTTAGACCCCACTTGGAGTACTATGAGCAAATCTGGGTACCACATGAGGAAGGATATATTGGCCTAGGAGGGAGTATAACATAGGTTTGTGACAATGATATCTGGAATATTTTTGATTTATTATTGCCACGTGCCTAGGTACAGTGAGAAGTTTTGCGTGCACTGCAGGCAGATCATACCATACAAATTGCATTAGAGTAATAGAACAGAGTGAGAAACACCATGTTACAGCTGCATAGAAGGCGCACAAAGACAGAGGTCAGCATTAAATTTGAAATGTGAGTTGCATTCAAATGTCTAATAACAGCAGGAAAAAAGCTGTAGTTGAATCTGTTGGTACATGTGTTTAAGCTTTTGTATCTTCTGCCCGCTGGAAGAGGGGAAAACTGGAGTGGGAGGGGTCTTTGCTTATGTTAGCTGCCTTTCTGAGGCAGTGAGAAGTATAGATGAAGTCAGTAGATGGCAGGTTGGCTTGTGTGGTGAACTGAGCTGTGTTCACAACTCTGCAATTTCTCTTGGTCCTGGGCAGAACAGTTGCCATAGCAATCTGTGATGCATCTGACAGAATGCCTTCAGTGGTGCATCTGTTAAAAATTGGTAAGAGTAATTGTGGACATGCCAAATTTCCGTAGCCTCCTGAGGAAGTGGAGGCATTATGCTTTCTTGACCGTTGCATCACTGTCGGTGGATCAGGACAGATTAGCGACTGTCAGTCCTAGGAACCTCATGCTCCTGGCCCCCTCCTCTGATGCAGAGAGGGCCTTGCCCTATCTTCGTTTAATAGAATCCTTAGTGTGGAACAGGCCATTTGGCCCGACAAGTCCACACCAGCCTGCTAAAGACAATCCCACCCCAGACCCATCCCCTACCCTTTCATTGTAACCCTGCATTTTCCATGGCTAACAGACCTAACCCATGTATCTCTGAACACCATAGACAATTTAGCATGGCCAGCCCACTTAACACTCACATCTTTGGGTTGTG